TTATCTTATCTTATCTTATCTTATCTTACCTGTGTGCCATCATTAGGTGATGCAATGTCAGAGCATGATGTCATCGACTTCTCTGCGTTGGAGCGAGAGCTGCAGGCGGCGGTTGAGTCCGAGCAGAGGTACAGCCGAGAGAACGAAGCTAAACTGAGAGCTGTGAGTCAGAGAGTCGGCTCCTACAACGAGTTCAGGTAACTCCAGGGTCCTGGAAACACCCGCAGGACCAGGGTAGAACTTTTACCAGAGTTGTTAGGGGTGTTTCAAGGAGTTCCACAACCCTTGACTGGGTCCTGAAAGAGTTCCACTAAGACTTGGATGACTCCTGGAACTTGTAAGAAATTCCTGGAATATTTGAAGGATTTCCAGAATGCTTTCCTTGGTTTCTGGAATAGCTTAAAAACATTGAACTTGTCCCAGGTCTTTGAGATGTTACCAGGCTCACATGTGTCACTCTCTGTTGGGCAGAGACCTGGTCCTGGCCTGTCACCTGAAGCCTCTGGAAAAGAAGGACAAGGATGGAGCGCCACGGAAACAACCCTGGAACCCTGTCACCTCAAACAATAAGTGATGTCTGGTCACCATAGCAACAAGGAATACTGACAGTTTTTTAATACTTTAATTTTTACTGTGGAAACAGCGTACCCCCAGGACCTTAAATCCTTACCTTTCAGTTCTGTGGTGGAACATTTTCAGGTACAACAGGTTTTTAAATGTTTATCTTCAGAAGTAGGAGAACCCATAAAGAACTAGGTCATCTGTACGTACGTATGACAAATTCTCCAGACTTGGAGATATGTGCTTTTCTCTGGACAGTGGATACGATCACATGGGGCAGTGACATTTATTAGACACAAAGACAGATGTAAATGAACCAATAACTGCTTTATTCTTTCTCTGGTTTCCTCAGTTGTTACTGGAAACAAAACCATTGTTCCCATTCCCACTATCTAAACACTCCAGTTTCATGAAATCTGATGTTGGTCTGTGATCAGAGCTGCACTGACTCCCTGTGACCAGGAGCTGTTATTAGTGCGGCCACAGTCACAAATAAAAGGTGGAAACGTACTCAGCTGAAAATCAAACTTTAGTAGAAGCCCCAGCAGCAGCAAGCTGTACTCAGGGAACAAAATGATTTCACAGTCCAAAAAAGTCTGTGATGCATGGATGTGGCAGAATTTAAAGCAGTAGCACCAAAAACGCCTTAAAGCCAAAACAAGTCCACATTCTGGAGGTTTTTACCTGACAAGATGTTAACCTCAAAGATCTGCAGTTGTTCATATGTAAATACAGTAAAATGGGTGGAAAAAACTCAAAACACTGTGTACTTATTTTATTAAACTGAGTTTCTTTAATGTGGTTAATATACTTATTTTATTAAACTGAGTTTCTTTAATGTGGTTAGGTTAATATACTACTTATTTTATTAAACTGAGTTTCTTTAATGTGGTTAATATACTTGTTTTATTAAACTGAGTTTCTTTAATGTGGTTAATATACTCACGATGTCTGTCATTAATCAGTAGACTGTGGTGTGTATACTGGTATTTTTGCTAGTTTTCAAATGGACCGTGGTGTATGCACTGTTCACTTTTTGCCAGAAATGAAACTGACTCTGGGTCAGTTTGTACTTCATTTAGTCTCTGATATGAAACAGGAAGCGGTTTATGTTGAGCAGGTTCACACATAGAGACAAAAATACAGACAGGAGGTCTCACTTAGAACTTTTTTATGAAGACTAAAACTCCTGCTGGAGGCCTGTGTGGTCCTTAAGAGGTGCTGGAGAGGTATCAGAGAGCATTCAAGGACTTCCAGGGTCCCTTTAAAGGTCTTCAGGGGTTCTTGTGATTTCTAGAGAAAACCAAGGATCCACTTCAAGGACTGATGGAACATTTTCAAGCACCCACAGTCACCCTGTAAAACTCATTTAAGGACTCAAAGTCATTGGAATGGATTCTGGGGTCATACCAGGACGTCCAGGAATCTCATTATGGTGTTTTGGTTTCTAGGGGGATGTACTGGTCCTTAAAAGATTCCAGGATGCATTACATTACTAGTCCTTTAAGACTTTCAGGATTCTTGTGGGGGCTATTTTTACCTTTAGGAAGGTTGCAGTGTTCCTTGAATTGAGCCTCCGTATCCTTTCATTGTTTTTGTTAGTCTGCAAAGGGGATCTAGGATCCTGTAGAAGGCTCCTTGGGTCATTGAAGAAATGTCCAGGATGCTTTCAGCCTCTGGACGACTTTCCAGGACTCTTCTGAGACGTTTGTGTTGACTGGGCCGGATCAGTGGTGGTGAGAGGTCTGTCAGAGCACAGAGGATCTTCGGAGAGGAGACCCCGTCAAATTGTTCAAACGGTTTTTTTCTGCAGATAAATTTTGTCTTCTGCAGTTTCTGGTGAGTTTTTACTCTTTGCTTACGCTTCTGTTTTAAATAACGTTAATTAGATTAATTAATCCGCTTCACGTACAGGATTAACAGTAAATGTCACAGCCTCAGTGAATCGTCCTCACATCGGACTCAAACCTGAAACTTTCCTGTAAGTCAACGTGTTGGAAATATCGACTGTATGAAAAGATGTACCAACGGAAGTAAAAGTATTAATAATGTTTTAAGTAGAAGTATTACAGGTGAAAGTACTCAGTGCAGTGAAACGTCCGCTGTGCCTGTTCCTGTATTACAGGCTTCAAATATTACTGATGTGTCAGCAGCGTTTCTCTGCAGTCGCCTCGGGGTGGGGGGGGGGGGGGGGGTCGCGTACTACGGCTCAATATGTTACCGAAGATGTCACAACAGGCCCCCTACCGTGGGGTTGTCGGACTCAGGTTGCTCAGTGGCTTAGAGCAATGTGTTGATTGAATTGACAGGTGAGAGGTGAGAGGCGGGGCAAAGTCTAACAAGACAACCAATCAGAAGTTACGGTTAAAGTTTAGCGCAGGCTGCTAAATGAATGGAGCCTGTCCAGAGACAGCTCCTTGTTAGTGTTCCTACCCATGGTGGTGCTGCACTTAAATTTGTCTCAACCTCGTTGCCCAAAATGACACGAACAGAAGGGATTCTGCATGGTGACAAGATGCAAAGCAACAGAACGAATATTATTCTGAGCTTTTCCCAGGAGAACGTGTGCAGTTGTAACCCTTTTGTAATCACTAACATTTTGATTAGTAACTGTAATTTAATAGTTTTCTCAGTAACTAACTGATTACAGTTACATTTATTTTGTAACTTAATTACAGTGACTAGTTCCATGTAACTAGTTACTCCCCATCACTGAATGTGATGGAGTACAAGTAGGAATTAGCAGAAAATGTAGCTCCTCCCTTGTATTTAACTACAGTACTTGAATAAATGTAATTAGTTATTTTTCCTCTCTGGGACTCCTGCAGTCCTTAAAAAGAGACTTGCAGGACTTTAAAGACCTAATACAACAGGTGAACAGCAAATGTTAAATTATGTCATTCTGTACTGTACCTCCTAACCGACTGCTCATTAGTTTGGTAGCAATTAGCTCTATAGCTACAGCAGCCGACAGCCATCACCAGATATTCTCAGTCCAGGGTGACTGTACCTCAGGCTCTGTGATCATTTATGATGACTGTCGTTTATGTATGAAAAACTACTTTGTTCTCACAGGACAGCAAACTCTGCAGCGCTTTGCAATGAAGGACCAGAATTTCAAAGATGAGGTGATGAAGATTCTTGAAGAAGCTCCAGATGCCAGAAAAGCTTTGCTGGAAAACTACAACAACCTGCTGAATGTGGCCGACTACTGCCACAACAACTACTTACAGGTCCGCACTACTGCTGCTGCTGTTGCTGCTGCAACAACCGACTTTGTCACCTACTACTGAAACAAGCTAGTGCTGCTGACTGCTAGGCCTACAGCTAGAACAACCACCTAAATAAGTCTAGCAGTTTACCTTTGTTTACACTGTGTATGCTAAGGTAAACTGCTTTCCCCTGCTTTTATTCTTCATGCTAAGCTAAGCTAATGGGTTCCCTTGCTTCTACTCGTTGTGCTGATGCTGCAGAACGGGGAGGATAGGAACAGTTCCCGTAGAAACTACTGGGGAGTGTTCATGGAGTCCAAGTTGGCGGCTGTCCACAGTGTAGTCTGCTGTGACTAGACTTCTTTTAAACAACATGACATGGATTCAGCTTAAGCTAACTATTTACCCCTGCCTCCACACTTTGAGCTGACCCCTCCTGTCTCCATGTGTGTAGTCAGGTGATGGCAGTATGAAGGCGTTGGAGGAAACTAAAAACTTTACCACCCAATCACTGGCCAGCGTCGCCTACCAGATTAGCGCTCTGGCCAATAGTGTGTTGAGTCTGCTCGACGCTCAGACCAATCAGCTTCGTCACATCGAGTCTTCCATCAACCTCATTGGTCAGGTGAGTAGTCACAGGTATGAAAGTGTGAGCAGGTGCAGTTCCTTGTCACTGTTCTTTTTTTTTTCTTGAATTGCCTCCTGAACATCACAATTCCCATTTGGTCAGCTATAAACACTACAGTTCCCACGAGCCTTAGCTGCCATTGCCATGGAGAAGAACCAGGAATGTGATTCAGACCAGCAATGAATGTAAAGTTACAAAACACATTTACTGTACTGTACAATCTTGATGTGTTTGTTCGCCTTAAAGGATAAGACTGGTCATTTTCTATATTAATAGTAGATTCAGCAATCTCCATACAGAGATATTCACAGGTGTTCCTAATATTCTGACCCTCTCGTTTATGACAATTTTGCAAAAAACGGAAACATTTTGAGCTTCATAAACACAGAGGTTAAGGCAGAAGTGTTGCAATGAAGTGTGTGTTGAGGAGGGGTCTGCAGGCTGCTTATGTATATTTAAATATTCAAAGATCCTGGAAATCACAATGAGGGGCAGATGTTAACATCTGTAACCCTACAGAGGTTCGTTGAACTTTTTTTTTTTAGGAAAAACTGTGTTAGGCTAGCTATTATTTATAGCAGAGTGTTTATGTAAATAAAATATGAAATTATCTCCAAGTGGAACCTAGAGTAGGCTTCACCAAAAGTGACAAATAAGTAAGATTTTTTGTTTGTTTGTTTTGGGGGGGCATTTTCATGATCTCCTCTGAGGGGAAGCTTACCTTCCTACATTTTGAAAAGCCCTGCTCTAGACTGAGCAGAAATTAGGTGGAGGTGCTTTCACTTCCACCTGCTGTTTATCACTCACATCCGAGTTTTAAGTTCAACTTGTCATTAAAGATATTTTTGTCTGATTATTGTTCATGTGAAACAGATGGGTTCATGTGACTCTGAGTAACATAAAAACATAAAAACAAGCAGGACTTCTACTGCAGGAATGTCTAAAATCCGTCTGCACTGTAACCCCACACTGGGTATATCTTTCACCCAGTGGGTATATTTTAATATTCAAATAAAATGAAACTTCACTATGCTCAATTACAGTTTTAGGAAGTGTGCTCTCTTACTGTAACATTAGAAATGCTTTCTCAGCAGAACCTAAGCCTCATTTTGGTAGCTCTGACCACCTAGCAATTTGGCTCAAACCTGCTTACACCAAACAAGTGAAGGTAAAACCAGTCTCAGTGAGAACTGTTAACACCTGGAACGACTGTACACAGGCCAGCCTGCAGGGCTGTCTAGGGGCCACAGACGACATCCATGAATATACAGAGACTGTGAGCGATTACATCAGCTGGTGCACGTCCATATGTGCCCCACCTTGAACTGTGCGTGTCTTCCCCAACCAAAAACCCTTGTTCATTACGCACATAAAACAACAAATCAGGAAGAAGCGGGAAGCTTTCAAGGCAGGGGACCAAGGGGAGTACAGGAGAGCCCGGTATGAGCTACTAAAGTCCATCACAGCTGCAAAGAGAGCATACTTCTAAAAACTGGAGAGCTACTATATGAATAACAACATGCGCAGTATGTGGCAGGGAATCCAGGCAGTCACAAACTATAGGAACAAATCAATGATCACAGCCCCCCATGACGCCACCCTCCCGGACAGCCTCAACAACTTCTATGCAAGGTTTGACAGGATGAACACAGATAGTCAAGTCAAGAATCTTTATTGTCATTATGCATAGCATGACAATTTTTTTTCCGGCAGCTTAAAAAACAGACATATTATTTACATGACACACAATTGTATAAGTCAAAAGATACCTAGATACCTCCTCAAAATCCCCCTCTACCCTGGGGGACACTGCTTTTCAGGTGATGCACACACAGGTTCTGAAGGCCCTGAAACAGGTGAATCCCCATAAGGCTGCGAGACCAGATGGTGTCTCCCCTAGCGTTTTGAAGGCCTGCGGGGATCAACTAGTTAGTGTGTATACAGACATCTTCAAACAGTCTTTAACACAAGCAGTAGTCCCTTGCATTTTCAAAAAATCTATCATTGTACTGGTCTCTAAGACATCAGACACATCGTGGATGTGTCTGATGTCTTAGGGACTTCAGGCCAGTGGTGCTCACATCAGTCACCATGAAGTGCTTAGAGAAACTGGTCCTCACACACATTAACCATATGTCCCGGACACTGTAGACCCCCTCCAGTTTGCCTATCGCCCCAATAGATCAGTGGACGACACGACGGCTCTGGCTTTATTCCACACTCTGAAACACCTGGACAGCAGTAGAATGTATGTTAGGTTGCTCTTCCTGGACTACAGTTCTGGATTCACTACCATTCACCCAGGTCGGCTGATTGGGAAGATGACAAACCTCGGTGTCCCGACTGCAAAATCCACCTGTAACTGGATTCTGGACTTCCTGACTGAAAGACCACAGGTGGTCAGAATGGGAGGGCAGGTGTCTGCTGAGCTCACAATCAGCATAGGCTCACCGCAGGGCTGCTGTCTCAGCCCCAAACTCTTCACCCTGTACACTCACAAGTGTGTCTCCAACCATGACAACACCATCATCATTAAATATGCTGATGACACCACCATTCTGGGCCTCATCAAGGGGGGAGACGAGTCGGGTTACAGAAGCTTGGTGAACGACATCCTCATTTAAGAAGAAGAAGAATGTTTATTATTATTGCTTGGTGACAAAAATAAAATTATGTTTAGCAACCCTCTCGTACATTGGCAAAATACCAAAATTACTAAATGATAACACAATAAATAACACTGCATAAAACCCTATATAAAACACTATATTTAAAAAAATCACGCTGTAATAATATACAGTAGATAATTGTATCCAGATGATAACATTCTTATGGCTATACCTATGATAGCAACAATATAAACCATACTAATATTGCACACTCAATAATACCCCCGTCAGGCATCTAGCAAAGGTAATTATATACAAATAATGACCTTGATGTAAATTTGACTATATTAGCAAAGTCCCTGTAATAACAGCATTATAGCTTATAATGATGGGTTTCAGCACTTCTTACCCAGACATAATAATGAGGTATTTATGAGTGCAAATGCAATGGAATAGAAGTTATTTTAACAGCTTGAGGATAGAAACAATTTTTAAATCTATTAGTTCTGGATTTGATCAGTTTGTATCTCTTTCCAGAGGGCAATAAGGTAAACAGAGACAGTTCTCTGCCCTTTTACGACAGCGCAGTGTGTCCAGTGTGTCCATAGCAGGCAGTTCAGTCCCAGGCAGTGTGTCAGACACAAGACCCCCCGCAATCAGGGCGGCTGGGACCGACTGAATGGATGAATGGAGCCTCTGTTCTTTGTCTGCTTTGAGTCTTATTAGCCATCAGATTCACATTCTTTCGTTCATTCTCCATCATGCTTTCATCCTTTAGTTTCACTCTGTGGTTTAGTTTATGGCTGCCTTGTCTCAGACCCCCGATTAGCACCCGGGAGACCTCATATATGTCAAAATCAAATTAAACTAATGACTTTTTTCTACTGAGAGTGAAAAAGTATTTTCAGGTTGAACTATTGAAAGGTGCCTGATGGCGAACAGGCAGCAGACTGGTCACTGGATCCAGGTCAAATATGATTTCAAAAACATGCTTAAACCTAAAAGCAAGGTAACATGTTTGGAGATTTGCTGCTGTTCTACAATTGATCTGACTGTTTGAAGTGAACGGTGTGTGTCAGAAGAGTTAAATCATGAAAGGACGTATCCAGCTGTGCATGATGTTACACACTTTCAGTGTGAGTGTCTGAGCAGGGGAAACACAAGAAATATGTCACTGTGTTTTTGTTTTTTATCTCTTTGAATTTTAGTTTATTTACCCTAACCCACCTCTCGCCCAGTGTCAGCTGGGTTTGGCTGCAGCCCCCCCGTGGAGGGATGGGTGGACTTATTTAACCTGTTTTACTGTGATGTTTGTGCAGCACTTCTCTTAATCAGAGACTAGTTATCATGACTGATTGATCTTCAGAGTGTTTTGTTCCTAATTTATTAATATTTTACTCAATGAACAGTCTCAGTGTCAGTGTCTCAGAGTCCACTGTTCAATTAACGGTCTGATGCTCAGAGATTCAGTTTACTGGGAGGGAACAGAGAACGGCAGCGACCTAGAGATGATAAACACTGGTTGGCATGAAATGTGTTGTGGGATAAGGACAAAAGGAAAACAGGCTCATCATCAGGTTCCTCTGCATTAATGTGGATATAGACTTAATTAAACCCTCTGCTGTTTAACTGTGACCCTGCTCATCCTCAGACGGTGGAGATGCATAAAGAGAAAGTTTCACGGAGGGAGGTCGGCACCTTCACAGCGGTGAGACGAGTCCCACGCACCCACAAGGTCCTCCCTCCTCAACCTCCTGCAGGTACACAGCCCCACCCACCGTACAGCCGCCGACCAATCAACTACCAGCAGCTGGACAGCCTGGGCCATGGCATGAAGGTATTACACACACAGACATAGTTGGGTTTGTTTTGTCTTGTGCTTGTTGTCTCAAATCCGGCTTGGCTGACCAATGCAGAACTTCCATTGGAAAACTGCCAATTCTCTGATTCAAAGTTGAAAAGCTATAACCTGACCTTCTGTACTTACACCGACATAAATGAGCAGTTTGTCGATGCAGTTTTCTCTGTGTAACTCTGAGGGTAATTCTGCTGCAGAGAAGTCACCATAGAGTGTTGAACTTGATAATCTGTCCTTGTGAATCAGCATTATTATTAGAAAAGACAGAGCAGCATTCAGACTGGTGGAAGACAAAAAAAGCAGAAGTGAAGTTTTGTTCTGAGTGTCTGCAGTCAAAGTGACGCTAACAGGAAGTGGTGGCGGTGGCTATGAAAAGAGAAGCAGAAGTGACAGGCAGTAAAAGTTCCTCATTCAGACTTCATCGTCCTCCACTGAGAACCAGAGCTGTGAACTGATTTCCTCACTGACTTCTCGGCTGAATTACTTCCTCTTGAGAGTCTCAGCTGCAGACTGTACCACTGTATAATAAACTACTACAGTGCATTCTCGCTGCAAACTCTAAACTATAAACTACACCACTGTAAATACAACCACTGCAAAATGTAAACTAGTGCAACTTGTACTGCAAACCCTGTTTAACTGTGTCACTGCAATCTAAAGTGCTGAAAATGGTACCACTGCAACTTGTAGTATTACAACCTGAGTAGTGCTCCAGACTGCAAACAGGAAGCTGCTGCAGACAGACACGTCAAGCTGAAATTAGTTGTCTATGTCACTGCACTTTTGGAAACGTGCCTCTGTTGTTCAGAGACAGTTGCATATCTGTTGCATTTATACTTGCACAACATTAATGTCCTAACTAGGGGGCAGTCACATGTGAAAAGTACAGAAAAGAAGATGAGGAGAATAAATCAGGAAACGGAAATGGTGGAGGCTTTATGCCAGGCTCAAAGCTGATATCATTTTCATCGTAGAACTGGTTTTATACCAGGTTATTAAGTGCTGGTATTTTTCAGGTGAGAGAGTAACGAGTTAGATTGACAGTAGGCGGTCAATCTAGCCAAGTGATGCCAATAGTCAAGCAGACCAATAGCAGGCAGCCACATTTCAGTCAGAGCAGAGTCGGATCAACCAATCGGCTTTTTTTTTCTTTTGCCTTTTAATTTTCCTCCTCCTTCACTTTCGCCTTGTCCTGTCAGGGATCGCGACAGTGATTCATCTGTTTCACTGATGATTCACATGGTTTAAAATCTAGCATGTTTTTACACTAGATGCCCTTCCTGATGCAACCCTCTCTATTTATCCTGGTTTGGGACCAGCACAGAAGTCACTAGCATGAACCCCTGTGGCTAGAGGTTCCCTGACAGAGAATCAAACTCTGGCTGCAGCAGTGAGAGCGCTGAATTTTTTGCCTTTTAACTTTACTAACCAATAATGATGGACAGTAAGTATGTCCTGTTTGAATCTATACATGTACTGTTTCAACCAATCGGCATGCAGGATGCACAGCTTCACGCGGGGTGTAGTTGAGATTTTGGAGATGTGTGCGTCGGGACGTCTGCAACCATCAGCGACCTACGTTTACCCATAAACCCCTTCACTGCGTGGGCACACCGCGATGCCTATGCACAGTTGCAGACAAGTCTAAATTGCCTGTCACTCTCTCAGGTCTCCACGTGTGAGCATCAAAACCTCTTCAGCTCCTGTGATGCCTGCAGCTTCCACTGAGCTGCTTTCACTGACCTCAGCTCAGCTTTCACTGCCTGTTTAACGTCTGACTTCTCTGCAGCAAATACGTTTTGATCAGAGACTTGATCCTCTTCTACTGTATGTTATTGTCTGTTGTGTTTGTGAATCTTACTCTGTATTTAACTGCAGTGAGGAGTCCAAAGCAAGTTTATCCACAGGAATAGCAAAGTAAATTCTATTTATTCTGTTGTGTTTTGTATTTCAGTGATGGAAGAAGTATTCACAGCCTTCACTGAAGGAATACTACAATGTTCAAATTGTCTATTACAAGTAAAGGTTCAGCATTCAAAGTTCACAAGTGTTATTGGAATATGAGCTACTGGTTTCATCCTGTGCCTTAGAAACTGTTTATGTGGAATCTGAATCACAGCGCAGAAGTAGAAAATACAACAGCAGAAAATAAACACTTGAGTGAAATCCAGCGACTGTTTCTGGCTGCAGAGTCTGGGCTTTAATGAGGAAGTGGATTTAAAATGTGTCACAGGCTCAGTCTTTGCTGAGCGTGGGAAACTAATTAGTGCTGCTGAGGCCTGAGAGCTTCCATTGATGCTCACTCTGCCCCCTAAACATGGAGCCTCCATCAGGTTCAGTTTGATTCTACTGTTTCTATTGACAACAGCTTCTTCTTTCACAGCACGCATGTTGAGCAGGAAGTTTCACTGTGGTTTCCTGTTTGTGTTTCAGGTCCAACAAACCTCCAGAGCCAGTCCAGTGCCCGGTGGCGCCTTCTGTTGGCGGGTAACTCTTGAGTGTGTGTTTGTATCTTTGTGGTGACATTCAGTCTGGTTCTCACATTTTCAAACATCTCTTCTGTTCCTCTTCAGACCTACCCACCTATATGCATTTGGCGTAGCAGGTGTGCATTTTGATATCAAAGTACACTGGTACGATTTCTCACTCCAAGTACATAAAAACCTAGTGCTGCCTTTTGAGTTGATCAACTAGGCAGCACCCAAATCCTACGCCTCTCTGTTTCACATCATGGGAAAAGCAAAAGAAAACAGCCAAGACCTCAGAAAAAAACTGTGGACCTCCACAAGTCTGGTTCGTCCTTGGGAGCAATTTCCAAACACTTGAAGGTTTCATGTTCATCTGTACAAACGATACCACACAAGTATATACACCACGGGACAATGCAGCATTGCACCTACTGCTCAGGAAGGAGACGTGCTCTGGTGGACGGAAATATCTGATGTCAACTGTATATGTATAGAGTATCCAACCCGTGGTAAAAAAAAAAAAAAACCCTCTCCCGTGTTTGTTTTGTTGCCTCAGATTTGAGATCAAACATCATCTTATTTCATCAATTGTGCGTCCTTCACTGAACGAGTCCAAGCATCCCGTGTGTCCTTTTTGTTTTATTTTGCATCCACTACTGATGCTACTAAATATGGCAGCTCATCCACTTCATCACTGCTCCAGTTTTTCTTTGGTTTGGAGTCCATTGCTCCACCGTCTTTACATTTTCGTTGTAGCGTTCCTGCCTTTCTCAGCCTCCGTTTCCGTGTGTGACGTGGGCACGTGGCCCTGTGGTCTCATGCCCTTTTATGGGCATTGACTGGGCATTAACCTATGCTAATTAGGAACAACTGGCGCATGAACACACGACATTCATCGATATGAGAACAGAGGTGTGAACAATTCTGCGGTTTAAGAACATGTTCATGAATCAGATGTGGACTTTTCTTAGGACCTCTCCAGGGGCGCCGATAGCAGTTTTGGGCCCTATGAAAAAATTTGAAGTTGGGCCCTCTACCTCACCCAAAGCTAGTCTCTGTGGGCCCCCAAAGTTCATGGGCCCTTAGAATCGTCCTAACTTCCCCCCGCAATGGCGCCCATGACCTCTCTTAAGAACAACCTGCGAACAAATTTAAGAAAGTACTCAGGAAAATGTTGGTGAATGAGACCCATTCTTCTGTTTCTGTTACCTGTTGCACCTGCTGGAGAAGTACAAATATTGTACTTCCTTTTTAGCTGGAGGTTTGTAGAAAATAAAAAAGAGAGAAAGATGGAAATGTTAATTTTTGTTTTATTTTTATTACAATTAAATTTTCATTCAAGTTACCAAAATCTCTGTGTATGCTGTCAGTTAAAGTTCTTAGAAAGAAAAAAACAATTGCTCAGAATTGGATTCGGCCCAGAAAGTTGTATTTGGTGCATCTCTATTATACGCAGTGTTGTTCATTCCCTCTGGCTGGCCGGTTCAAGTGAGGACTGTTCTTTTAACTCCTTTGGAAAGGTAAACAAACTGGGGCTGGAGATTTAAGTCGACAACATAAGTTATATTGTCCATGTGTCACAGATGGTTAAACATACGTTCATAATATTAAATTTTACAGTCAAACCCACAATCTTAATGTTCATCATGGGACCTCTGCTCAAAAAAGGCGAGCACACATGCTGCAGAATTTCCTTGAGAGTTAGTGGGAGATATGGCCACATTTCTGAACTTCCCTTCCATACATTCTGCACAGTCTGTAGTGACAGCGGCATGAGTAATCAGGGATCCTCAGGTAAGCTGAACATCAGATGATTTTCAGAGCACTGCTTATATATTGCCTGGGATTTTATTCTAAAGGGAATAAAATTAATGCTACAACAAAAATAACTTTATCCATCATGCCCCCGCCCCCTGTAAGGTGATACGCCAAGACTTTCTTCAAGGTTGGCAGGTCTGCAATCATCTTGTCCACATAGTGATCTACTAAGATACTAGGAAGAGATGTAAAAGAGAGGAACCAAAGAAACATGTTAATAGACACATGAGACTTCCCTTCCTCCCATCCTTCATCTGAAATGTCCAATCACAAACTGATTTCCAATAAAGGGGCGTGCCAGCCCTTAAAAGATTTCAGTGAAGGATGCTTACTCCTCCAGCAGCCTCCTCAAAGCAGGAATAAGAGCTTTGGAATGTCCTTCATGATGATGGACTGGAATGACCTCCTCATCAAGCGAGGTTCAAATAATGATCAGTTTGTTCCTGATGCAGCTTCTTTTTCTACTGTCTTTTTGAGTGTGGGTCCTGGCCAGGAGGAGTCACCATCGCATGTCTGTAAATTATTTACTTTATTCTTCTCTCACTCAGTTCCAGTTTTGGGAAACTTGTAGCTCCACCCACCATCCCCACCACCTGGCAGGTTCCACCTGGGGGTGGCATCATCACCACACTGATGGACAACACCCCACCTCCTCCTCCTCTGGCAGAGAATGAGATGCCACCTCAGGAGGATGAGGTCATAAACTCCTCTGGCCCACCCCCTCCACCTCCTCTTCCTGATTTGTCACGAGAGATATTGGCACCACCCCCTCCTCCCCCTCCTTCAGAGGCTTTGACCAACCACAGCTCTCTGTCTTCTGCTCCCCCTCTGGCCCCGCCCATCGGTCTTGAGACAGGTGAGAACAAATGAAAACCACTTCCGAGGAATCATATGTTGATGGCTTCATATGGTGCCCGATCTTGTTGTTATGTTTGTAGAACAAGACTGAGAAATGCTGTGATGTTGCACAGAAGAAACTGAATATGGAAAATTTCAAACTTGACTTACACTAAAAACTTTGTCACTTGAATACTGAGGAGGCAGAGCTGTGAGATGAACTGTAATAACAATGACAGCAGGGCTCCGTGATACATGACAGTGATACCAGTTTGCAGAATATTCTTGTACTTTCACCTGTTCCCAGGATTTCGTTGTGCTGTACTCGCCCTAAACGTAATGCACAGATTATACAAATCACACCGGCATATCAAACCATTCGACATGCAGTCATGGCCACATTAAGGATTTAAATGGAATGTTTGTGCAGTGAATTTGTCAGACACTGTTTGCCTCCATGTCTCCATATTGTCACAGCTGTTGCAGAGTTATCTTAAGTACATATTAACTGTTTAAACTCCTTGTAGGCTCCAGCAGAAGCTCTGTCTCTGCTGTGGGGACAGACTGCTCCCTCTCCTTAGACATCTACATGTAACCAATCAGAAACAAGCTGATCAAGGTCACTACTGTCGATATATATAACCTGGTCACTGACCATGAGAGCGCACATTTATCTTGGATGACTGAATCCAGCTTTTCTAATCCACAACACAGGCGAGAGTTGAAGAACTGAATCACCTAGATAACCTTAGCTGGCATTAGAAAATCTGGAATTGCTCATTTTATCTATCATCTGTTTAGTGATGTAGAAAGAGCACCCCCCCCCCCAAAAAAAGAGGTGACCTGCTAAGTCTGATCTAATATGATGATTCAGTCTGGTTGTCATGATGACATCACATTAGTCTGGATTTGTTAAAGCTTTATTAGCTAAATCTAGATTTGTTAAACCATCAGAATTACATAAATAGTTACATCTAAAGTAGTTCAGTCTGTGTTCAACAAATTTAGGTTAGAAGTCTGGATTACAAAACTAGGTTAGTTAAAACTGTAACAGATGTCTGGATTGGTTAAACCCAGATTGTCTTAACCTAAATCATCTAAAACTTTAGGCTAGTTAAACCTCTATTAGCTAAACCTAGATTGGTTAACCCATTTATATTTCTGTGACATCACATCTCCTCTCTCTCCTCAGTGGTGGAGGAAAC